GTTTCTTTTTAACAAAAAAAAAACGAAGTCCAGATGACATGATTCAACCTTTTTTGTTGTTATATACCTGGATGACTGAGAAAACAAACTTTGTGTTTTTGAAACCATTAGTGAAAAGGCCAGACTTCAGGGGTATCTGAGGCAGGCTTGAAACACAAGAGTCAGGGTGGCTTCTGGGTAATACCAGATGGCTAGGCCTCAGACTGACGAAGCCTCTTGGATGAGGGGCGAAACGTTTCTTTTTAACAAAAAAACGAAGTCCAGATGACATGATTCAACCTTTTTTGTTGTAATTAATAGAGATCTTAAATAGTTTCTTCACAATATCTCATATTTACTGTATTGGAAATGTGTAAGACAGTAATACTGTTCCGTGTTTCCCCTAGTTAACTTGCCATGGTTGGGTGCTCATCTCATCCATGTATTTTGTTGATGGGGGGACAGACACTTATCTGAGCGCAGCTTGTACAAACAGTTTTTGAGTGGGGGCAGGGGGTGTTTAGCATGAGGGAAGAGGCAACATGAGTGCTTCCTTTAGCTTTTTAACTAGAGAACCTGTATTTCTCGCTGCTAGCTTAGTGCTATGTCAGTGCCGGGTGGGCAGGTGGAGGGGCAAGTTTGGTTTGGTAGGCGGGGTGCTCAATTCTGTTGACGGGGTGGGGCACCCCGCTTGCATAATGGTAGGGGAAACAATAATAAAATAAATAATTGTGTTTTAATAAAAACACAACAGCAGATGGTAAGATGGTCCTGCTGTATACCTGTGTTTCATCAAAGAGGAAGGTGATCTTCTGGTCCTGAAGACCAGCACTGAGCAGGATATCTTTAATATTCTTTCTCCACTTGGTTTGACCGTAGTTTGAAGACGACTCAATCTGGAAACACCTATATCCAGCCCTACATATAGACAAATGAATTAGGAAGACAGGCCATGGGTTCACTGGACCATGCAGGTAGTTCTGCATATTTTATCATATTAACAGTGGATTATGTACAGTATATTTTAAAAGTGAACAAGTTAAAAAGTAGTATCCAGTCTCTACACTCTATGTTTAATTCTTATACAACTAGGATATTTATAGCTTGCTGAGGTAAATATATTTGACTTGCCCTGTTGGCACTGGAAAATAAAAACCTGCTCAAATCTCACATGTATGAAGCAAGTTTAGTGAGTGACTGGCGCCCACTGCCACTCACTCCAAGCAACAAGGCATTGCCTTGAGGCTGCTGCAAGACCCGTCTGATCCGGCACACGTGTTCAATGGCTTCCATGAAAAGCACCAGTTGCATCTTGGTCCTGCTACCCTGATTGTATTTTTCCAAGTATTTCTTCAAAACCTTTACCAGCTAGATTTAAAAAAAATAAAAAAATACAATCTACAGTCAGGATGAATACAAACACTTACTTCAGACTGGGAAAATACAAAACAAGTAAGCAGAAAAAAACAGTTAAAAGGACATTTATCACAAAGTACACTATTGTTCATAGAATGTAATTTAGAACACCTAACCATAAAAAAATATGCCATGATAATACTGATTGGTGAGACTCACATTTTCTTTGTCTTCTATGTATGCATAGATTTTGAGGTCAGGTTCAGGATATGTGAAATCTCCGTACAAAACAGGATGGCAGGGAATAACTTCTTCAAAGGAACAGCCAAACTCTTGAATGCGGTCTTTGAGGATCCCGTTAAACCAGTCTCTATCCTCTGCACACACCAGCCTATCCTGGAAAACCCGGCAGTTTTCATGGTACCACAGCCGCAGCAGCTCTGACTTATCCTACACACAAGAGACAATAAATTCACTTTACATTTAGAATTGTGTTATGTTAAAAAGTTATTTTCATTTAAAAACACCCAATGCAATGTTTGTAAAATGCAATGTTTGAAAATGTTTTTCACATTAAGCTGTAATGTACCATAACATACCATTTTATTTATAGAGCACTTAAAACAGCGACAAGGCCAACCAAAGTGTTGAACCAAACTGTTCAGCGATTTGTAGACATACAGGAGTATTTTGAACTGGATTCGAAGGTGAACTGGTAGCCAGTGCAGTGAGGTTAAAACTGGAGTAATGTGCTCTCTTTTGCCTGTACTGGTTAAAAATTGGGCTGCTACATTCTGGACCAGTTGTAGTCGTGCAATGAAAGTCTGACTGATACCAAACAGGAGCGAATTGCAGTAATCAAGCCTAGATGTAATGAATGCATGTATTACTGTCTCCAGGTTATTTTTGGACAATATGGGCTTCAGTTTAGACAGCCGCCTCAGTTGGAAGAAACATGATTTAACAATCATGTTTACATGATTGTTAAGTTTCAGAGAAAGGTCCATTATCACGCCCAGATTAGTGACTCTGTTTTTCTGACAGGGTTAGAGCGGAAAGGTCGATACAGTGGTTTGTGATCGTGTCGTTAGGAGGGAACAACATGACTTCAGACTTGTTTTCATTGAAACTTAAGAAATTTAAAGCCATCCAGTCCCTGATGTCAGCCAGGCAGTCGAGCAGAGTTTGAATGGAACATGTACCATTGTGTCTTAGGGGGAAGTAAATTTGACAGTCATTGGCGTAGAAGTGAAAGGGTATGTTGTGTTTCCAGAAAATAGCACCAAGAGGCAGCAGGTATAAAGAGAATAGGAGGGTACCCAGGATGGACCCCCGCGGAACCCCCCATTTAAGCTCTGCCGCTGCAGAACTAAAATCCTTGATGGAGACACAAAAGGATCTGTCAGCGAGGTAAGATCTGAACCAGTTGAGGGCTGACCCTGTGATGCCCACCCACTGCTCCAACCTAGCAATGAGGATCTCATGGTTGATGGTGTCAAAGGCGGCTGTAAACAGTGTAGTGTAGTGTGTAGTGTAAATTTATGCATATTCAGGGTTATGCTGGTTGTAATAAAATGTTTACTTTTGACGTATTTTATAAATACCTTTATCATGCAAGTCTCAGCCATGAGGATGCCCTGGAAAACCTTACAGAGGGTTTTGAGGTTAAAGGTGTAATGGCACTTGGCTGGAGTTGGTAAAAGATGTGAGATAATGCTGTTGTAGGTTTGTATAGTGGCATCAACAAGTGACACTTTCAGTGGCTGGAGTGCTGGCACAAGTTCTTAAAAAAACAAGCAAACAGGGATGAAAGAGACTGACTCCATCAAAACACTACGAAATATAGACACAACATTTAATAATTAGAAACATGCAGGTGAATGAATTATTTTGACAAAAAAAAACTTTTTGTTTTTTGTGTTCCACAAATATTTTTTAAAGCTTTGCAAAAGTTATGATCTGCAAATATTTACATGGAAGCCTGTTGGGTTCATTCTTATATACAATCAAACATATAATATTTATTACTATTTATTAATATTTATACTCTTATCGTGCCATCAAAACAACATTTTAAATTCAAGAAAACAGACAACCTTGGCTTACCCATACAACTTCCAAGAATAGTTGAAAAAATTGTTTTTTTGCTAGTGTCCTCCATATCAGTAAATGAAAGGATGTTAAAATGGCGGGTGAAGCGCTGAGTAATGGTGTTTTTGACTCCTCCGGAGGTTCCCATGACGCAAGCAAAATTTATGTCCACTAGGTGATTGAAAGTCCCTGTGGAGAACATCAAAACATAAAGGAAGTCCGCGCCTTTACAATATTTATGACACCAGAAATAACCACACAACATATTGTACATGATTCATGCTGTAAAAAGAGGTGAACAGTGTGAAAATGGATTTGATTTAAATCAAATGTTTTGTGCAAAGACTAGCACAACAGTGTTAGAAGAACAAATCAGGTTTGAGTGTTCTCACCTGTTTGCTTCCTGTCATACCAGCCTTTATGGTCCATCCATTGCCTCAGCAGTTCCACAGAAGGCTGAGCACCATCGGTTTCTAACACAGGTGTGTTTAGATCGTCAATGAAAAAGACAAAGTGCTTCCCCAGAGGAGGTCCAAGCACACCTTTCCGCCTGACAGACAAACATGAGCCTTGGTCAAACAAAATGCATACACAGAAAGGTAGCTGCTTGTGTGTTGTGCTTAGATAAAAAATTAAGTTTTGGATATTAAATCAGGTTTTTTATGTAACTATCTGCTTCTTAAGCTTAAAACTTTAAGGTTTGAGTGAATCGTTAAGTTAAAGTTAAGCTATGTTAGAATTTTCAAAGAATCTTCCAGTTTTTGGAAAAGGGTCTTTAAATAAGTTTTTGGGATCTTTCTATATGAAGCTTCAGATCTTATTGGGGTAACATAAAGTGTACCTTTTGTTTAATTTGCTCTCAAAGTAATCTTGAACTTGACTGGCTGACATGCAGGCAGAGAACATGAGAACATGTGTGATGTATTCGGCAGGCATGTTCCTCAACAACTTGTCTGAGATAGTACATGTCTTTCCTGCTCCAATCGGCCCAACACAAAGCATCTGAATCACAAACACAAAGTTTAAAACATTTATCTTTATAACACCAGAATAAAGAAAAATAATACAACAGGTCCTTGTGTATTTTGCTGTTCTGTGTTCATCGTTTTAACACGTTCACCAAAATATTTTGATCCCAGTACAAATTATTCATAAGATACTTACAGGTTTCTTATTGGTCAAAAGTAAATCCATTAGGAAAGACATTCTCACTGTGTCAGCAGTTGGAACAAATATGTCTGTAATATTTCTTTTTGGAGGCATGGTAAAACTTTCTGTATTCTTCATCCAGCTGACCCACTGTATCTACAGCACAGGCAAAATAATTGAAGTTTTTGAGCTAAGGTGTACTGACAGAAGTCCATCTATAATCTTAACTTTTAAACAGAACTTATTTACTTGTGTTTCATCCTCTTTATTATCCTCCATATTAGTGATCCCTGCATCATCAAGCCTGTAATCATACACTAGGCCTTCCTCTGGAAAACATAACTTAACCTGAAAGGAAAATATTTTATGTACAACATATTTATATGAATATAATTCTGCCATTGACAGTTTTAGTGCAAATTATATTAAAATTAAATTTTAAGTAAAGGTTCAGAAGCACACATCAAAACCTGACCTGTTCTTCTGCCATCTTGTTTTTGAGCCAGGCACTAAATTGCTGGCGGCTTGCTGCATCTCCTGTGGCCCCAACGCTCCACACCAGTGAAAAAAAGAACCAGGGTTCTATCAGCTCCTTAAGATGATCCAGTTCCTTTTGAGGTGGTTGAATCTCACCCTAAAGCACAAAGAAAACATTCACACATTAAGATTTACACAGTTCAATGCAGATCAGCAGCATTCAGCGACTGTTGGCATTTTAATCTTGACTGTTGTTCGAAATTGCTTTTGAGTGATCAAGTGACATGAATGCAAATAAATTATGTGTAACCTAAAAAACTCTGTTTTTTGTAGCAATTTTCTGCATACATACATAAAGTAAACGCATATAAAAATGTGCTGAATAGAATAAATATTCATCCCAATAACATTAGATATTTTTTGGACTGCCCAAAAACATTCTTTTCATAGGTATTAACATTTGGCATCCACAGTTGAAAGGTCTATCAGTTTTAAAGTTGTTTGGTTATTCTGACCCTAAAGGGCTGTTTTCCAAACCTCTTTAATGGTGTAAGAACAAAAAAAGCACTCCATAAGTTTAAGCAGACTACTGATTAGGTTGCTGTCCAAAGATGGGATAACTTCCTTCACTGATGTGTGCACAAATGTGATAGAGTTCTGTCAAAAAACAACAACAAGAGGACAACAAAAGTAAATAAGCTATAATATTACTTGGTCTTGTGGTGAAAACTTCAAATAGTACATTCTGGTCCAAGTCATACGGATTCTTCTCTCACCTGTAGGAACCTGGTAAACAGGCTGTTCAGTTGCTCTGTGTATGGTTTCAGGGCCTCAGGGACCTGGTTCAGCCAACACTCGGTCAAAGCTGCGAGACCCAAAGTACTGGCCTCTAAGTAAACTACACCGCAACAGGACACTGTAGCTGGAGATGCCATCGCCAAGTCCTCCACCTCAAACATCACCGTCATCTCCTATAGAAGAAAGACACAGGATGTCTGAATGAAAATAGAAGAGGAAAAAGTACATAAACGGAACATCTAAAACCCATCTTACGTCTGTAAGCTTGATGATTTCCCCCGAGGGAAGGCACAATTTTTTGTTGTCATCCAGCACAGAGTTCATGTCCTCAATCCACACAGGATCTACAGGCCCATCAAACATATACCACCTCTTCGTTTTGTCTACAGATGCTGTTCCTTCACGTATAAGGGCTGAGAGGACACCCTCTGTCCTGCATGATTGAAAAACAGATATTGTTATTTTACTGCATAGATTCTGTATAAAAATCATTTCTTACCATTGATGTGTTTGAACATCATAGTCCCCATAAAGCTGTCGCACTGTGAGAGACTTTGGATTGAGGACATAAATCCGAACAGCTTCATAAACATCACTTCTCACAGAAGGCTGGCCCTTCAGAGCTGTTAGTGCTGCACCAAGTACCTCGTAGCACTAAATACAAAGTGTCCATATAAATGAATAAATCAAGTAGAGGCACCTATTGACTCTACAATACAAATCAAAAATGCTTGTTAAAATGTAAACATGACAGTCACGTGTCATTGATTCACCTTTGTTTTTCCTGATCCAGGAGGTCCCACCAACATCAGGCCATGTCTCATGACACTAGTTTCATACAGCTGAATACACTTATTTATAAACCCTGTAATTAACATTAATCATCTATGGTTTCTGTCCAAACATATAAACACAATCATAATCAGTTTTTTCTCAGCAGAGACACAAACCTTCCACATCCTTGAGGTTCTTTGAGTTGCAGACATTATGCAGAGATTTTATAAGCAAGTCATTATTGATGGGATTGAGTTTTGTTTTAGGAAAAAAATCATACAAAATGTCATTGAAGAGTTTCAGGTCATCCTGTAAAAACCTGGGGACACTGACTTTATGAATTGCCTGAAGACAGATCAACTCCTGGAAAACAGTAAGGTTAAAGAAGAATAAAGAGTTTAGGGTATTTTAAAATACGTTAAAAAATTATCACACTAAGTATGGCTTTATTTAGAAACTTTTGAACTACTCAAAGGGAAAAAAAACGTCACTTCTTTCAAGTTTGGATGTTCTCTCCTTAAGTTTCCAGCAACTGCGATCACCATTTTCACAGTTTTGATGCTGAAATCATAATGGTCCTTCACATGGAACAAAAAGAAAAATAAGTTAATCTTTTTTTAACTTCTGTACATACAACTACAACAAGATTTAGTTTCACTTAGTTAAAAGTAAATTCAGATGCTGGTAATTCATACCTGAAAGCTAAGTTGTTCAGAGGCGAGCCTTAAAATTGCAGCAATTTTCTTGGCGAGGACTTTGACGTTACTGAAGCCTAATGAGAACAAGGAGATCTCAGCTATCATCGCAGAGTCAGGAATCATCATGGCAACAGGACGGAACAAGGTCTGTAGAAGTAGACAGTTATTATTTCAATTGGTAAATCTTGCCTACTTTATGACTTTAATTACTGGACAGCTACTTGGTTTTAAATCAATGTTTCAAACCTTGAGATTGTCAGGCATTTTAACGCAACCAGTGAAATCAGGATTCATGGTGATGAACACGGCACAAGAAGGGTTTAAGGGGATCTCCACTCCCTCAAATACAAAACGCACAGCCTGATAATAAACAAGCCTTATTAGAGCTAGTTTTTTTCATTCAGCTTAAATAAAAACATTTTTACTGAAACTTTGAATTTCAAACTGTAGCAATTAAAAACTGAGTAAACTGGGAAAAAAAACAAAAAACCTTTAAAATCAGTACACGTATTAACAGCTTAAGGACAACAGGGACAAGAGGTAATCATTAAATGAAATTTCCACCTGTTGCTGCTGGGCCTTTTGAATTGAGAAGATCTGCTGTGCCATGACAGACAAGACTTCCACATCAATTTGAGCAATACTGTTAAAGCAAACCCAGGCGCCTGAGCTGCAAAATAAGACAAGACATTCTCTACATTTGATGGCATGTGCTGTGACATTTAAAAACAAACCTGCCATTTTTTCCTAGAAGTTTGTACCTGGCCAGTCCTTTGAGAAACTTCCCCACTAAGCTGGAATCAAGACGATCCGAGCAGTTGAAAACTACTGTGTGCATGGCCAAAGCCTTCCCAAGATCTTTAATAGTTTCTGTCTTTCCTGTCCCTGATGGGCCTGCAAGTGCACCCCCAAACTTTAGGTTTAGACCAGCTGTCAGAGTTAGGTAGCATCTGAAAGAGCCAAGCACAGGTTTTAGTTGTCATACTTTGTGTTTTGCCAAAATCACTTAAAAAGTTATCACTCTTAATGACTACCTGTTAGTGAGTGGGGTGATAACCAGACGACCAGAGTTACCAAGATATTCATATCCATACAATAACTCTGCAGTCAGTGCATGAATATACAAGTCTTCATTATTCCAATAATATCTGCAAACAGTAACAGAATGATGCAGGGCTGCTTCGTATTGAAGACAGTAAGGTCAAGTTGTTGAAAAATGTATAATCAAAAGTAATTGGTTACTTGAGTTGGGTAACCCATTCAAAGTCATTGACACTGGAAACTTTCTGCTCCACCAGTTTTGCAACTACATCTTTAGCATAAACCTCAGTCACAATGAGGGAAGAGAGCACAGCCTGTTGTGTTCTAGAGAGTTGTCCTCTCATCAGCTGCACAATGTCCTCAAGCTTCACAAACAGAAGACAAATCATTATTAATGTCAGTAAACGTTATGATCAAGTGTGCACCATGGTCAGTTACAAATGTGAGCTATACATTTTAGAATCTGGTTTTGAATTTTTACAAAAAAAAATTATAATAAGCTTAAAGTTTGTAGGTTTTAGTGCTGACAGTCTCAAAGTACACACCTGAGTCTGTAGTTTGGGATAAAGATGATTAGCCAGGTCTCCTTGTACCAAAGCCTTAGACACCTCAGCAGTCCAGAAAACCTGAGAGCCAACTATCACCACTTGACCAGGCCATGATATCACCCACTCTACATGAGGTTTCTGCAGATTAAAAGAGCACATAAACATCTTCAGCTTTAACTTTGTATGGTGAACGCAAGCTGTTCAATAACAGAAAGCATAACAAAGGCAGTAAAAGTCAGGTTAAGTTACTTCTGAGTAGCCTTTAAGAGACTGATCAATGTTATCCCTCAAAGTGGCTTGCATTGACTTTTCCAAGTCTGTAAGCCAGTCCTCCACATTCCCATTTGGCCACACTGGCAGGAATAGTTTTACCTCCTCCCCTTCTCCAGAGCACATGTGTGTGATCAGTAGGTCTGGCTGAAATTGAAGCTAAGAACCAACAGAGAAGTTAGTTGTGTAATGAAAAAAATGTTTCTGATACACATATTTATATAAAAAGGTACTTAAAAGTCAACCAGCTGAAGCAAACCTCTGCAATGTTCTCAAAACATTTGTGCAGGTGTGAGTGAACAGCAGTAGGATCTTTGGTATGGAACAAAAACTCCAAAAGCTCAACATCGGAGAGGAAGAAAAGCCTACAAACAAATGTGAATTGTTTCATTCATCTGTTACATTGCATGGTGTTAAAATCAGAATTTCTATTTACTTTGTTTTTTGTTATCACAGCTCTACCATTTATAACAAGGGAAACAAAAGTAATTACCGGTAGTCATTACCAATGGGACATGATTGTCACATGAACTTAATTGGAAATAATAATAAAAATATATAAATAGTTATTATAACAACTGAGAACTGTGTGCCACATCTACTGTAGATTAACTGAAAAATCAATATCAGTTACCTTGGAAAAGAGACTCTTTTTTTCTCCAAGTACTCACTGAGACCTTTGTAAATTGTTTCCAAAAACTTTCTGCACGTCATAAGTTCCTCTAATAGACTGGAATGTTGACAAAGTTCAATAACCTAGAAATAAACACAGTAACGCACGTAATTGGTCTACAACAAACAAAAAGCATCACTGTAGTCTGTTACTATATGAAGCTGTGATACCATGTCCTAAAATATACAAATTTAAAGTTTTCACCTTGCTATTTTCGACCGTATATTTCAGGATAATTTTCCATTGTTGCACAAACTGCTTGTATATATTTCCTTCAACAGGCAGCTGCTGATTGATGTCATCAGAGCAGAAGATGAGCTCCAGTTTTAGCCAACCACGCTGGCACACCAACAATTCTTCCAACGCATCCTGTAAGAACCAGCAGACAGCAGAAGAATATGAAACACAGTAACAATAGCATGATGCAATACCAGCCACTTAATGTATTTGTCGTGTGGGTGTGCGCGTGTGTACTTGAGTCATTCGCAGTTTTCTTTCCCAGGCATTGATGTGGCTCTCAAAAGGTTTTTTGTAGGGGGACAAAGACATGTTTTGAATTGTGACAAGGTGGTCATCCAGCAACTGGAGTGTTTCATCTGGCCATTTCAGAGTAAATGTCCCCATGTCGTTATATGGAAGCAAATCAAAGACTACTGTTGACCAGTCCTGTTCCATCTTGTCCAGCACCTGGGTGGGAGAGTGGGGAGAAACAAAAAGATTGTCAAATGTAAATGTCATTGAAAACTTTTAAAATAAAGCAAAAACAGTTATCCCAAACTATATCAAAAGCTGTAGTTTGAAAGTCTTTGCTCCAGTACTTTTCCAGACACATTGAATGTAATTCTGACATGTGGATCCACAGTCAGTGTAAACAAAGCATTTGGTTAAATCCAAGTGGAAGCTTGTCACATTCATGATTGACCCACACAAGACTGTGTATGTCAACAATGGCTGGTAAGTTTAAAATTTTGACCCATTTTCAGTCACTTCTGGTAGGTAAGCAAATGCATGTGGTAGTTGGCATCCAAATCAAACATTTTACTCTTTTTTTTTTTTCTAATTTAAGGATATATTAGGGCAGCACGGTGGCGCAACTGGTAGAGCTGCTGCCTCTCAGCGAGCAGGTCCCTGGTTCAAACCCCGGTCCAGGGGCCCTTCTGGGTGGAGTTTGCATGTTCTCTCCGTGCATGCGTGGGTTTTCTCCGGGTACTCCGGTTTCCTCCCACAGTCCAAAAACATGCATGTTAGGCTGACTGGTAACTCTAAATTGTCCCTAGGTGTGAGTGAGAGAGTGAATGGTTGTTTGTCTCGTTTGTCTCTGTGTGGCCCTGTGATGGACTTGCGACCCGTCCAGGGTGTACCCCGCCCCTCGCACAGTGATTGCTGGACATGGGCACCAGCGACCCCCGTGACCCAAAATGGAATAAGCGGGTAAAGAAAATGGATGGATGGATGGATGGATATATTAATCATCAACATCAGAAAAAAGTTGTGCAGATTTTTTCTTCATTAATTATTTTGTCTGGTCTTCAAGACATTGCAATGAGTACTTTTATTCTCATTTTATTGAAAATATGCACATAATAAAACTATCAGCAAACATTTTGAGTGGAGTTGTTGCTACTGTTTTATTGGACAGCAGCTCTTCTTTTGAACTTCTAGTATTACAGTAAAATGAAAGGAGCGATATCACACCATTCTTTAGAAATCATACTTTTAACACCTTATAGAAGGCTACATTAAATCTGAAGTCCTTTTCATAATCACCTGTTCAATGCTGTATTCTTTCTGAGCAATCTTAGCCACAGAGTCTATTTCATCAGTGTAGTTCTGTAAGCCAAGCTCCAAGTAGCGAGTAAGATTGGAGTTGGCTTTGGGTGTGACTTTAATGTTAATGCGCTTTGAAACAATCTCCCAATGACGAATTTTCATACTCGGGTTCCTCAGGAATTGAATTACTAGAAAAAATGGGCGGAAGTCTTCTATCTTGCTCTGCATTATAGTCGCCAACCTTTGGATATCTAATGTGTAAGACAAAAAGCAAATCAAAGAACAAAAAGTTGGTCTCGTGCCCAATAATCATGCATTTCTTCATAATATTTCTGTAGTGATAGATGTGTAACCTACCAGGAAGGTATTTAAACTGTTTAGTACATGTGTTCATGGTCTCTTTGGCTTTGGTCATGATGCGCTGAAGCTGCTCAGGGTTGATGGAAGAGAGGGGGTCACTGAGCCAGCGTTCATTCCAATGCAGCCAATCAGAGATGGTGGTCCAGAGCTCCTTAAAATGCTTGAAGTCATTTGCCATCTTCTGCAGATTATCATACTGTAATGGACATTGCAGCTCATGATTAAACAGTTAAAAAAAATGAATATATGTTTGTTTTCTAAATTGATTTAATGTTTTTAAAAAATATTTTTGCCTGAATCACTCTGACCTACATTTGTGACAGGTAAACCAAGCAGATGTTCCCTGGTGGTGTAAACTTGAGCCATAGTCTGGCACTGCTCAAGTTGTCTTGCTATGCGCTGCACCTTGATGCTCATTTCATGAGCAAGCTCAATGTCTGCATATCCAGCAAATGCAGCAATAATATGCTATAATCAGAATGATAATAATACTAATTTAGAAGCAAAAATAAAGACAATGTGCTGAACTTAGAAATTAACCAGATCACTTTGAGACATGTAAATAAGGCTGTGATGTCTGATCTGGACACCTGATCCAGATGTAGATTTGTCATATACTAGACACAAAGTAAAAAAAACAACAACAACCTGCAGTGTGTTTAGTTGCTCCTCAAAGTTGTGATTATCATTTATTTGGATCTTATTAAAGCGCTCCTCATCCTGTTCATGCTGAATAGTTACTGCTTCCTTTTGGTTGATTATTATTTGAGGCCACCAAATAGCTGTCCACCTGCACAAATAAAACACTTATTTGACTTCTCAGTCAATACAGTCAGTTTTTAAACAAATCTTTGATTGTCTTTATTTATTTATTATTATTTATTCTCTGCTTGCTCTTGACAAAGGCAGATGTTTTTCCCTCCCGCTCCTGCTCCTCCTGCTTCTGCTCTTTGTCCTGTGAACCCTATCGGAGCCATTCTTTACATATCTTCCAAATTGTAAATTATGGATCTGGTCAGCTGGTCTCTCAACGCAATTAATAAAATTTTCTCAACAAGAAGACAGGGCGAAGGAGAGCCCTCTTGCCCTGACGGGACACTTGCAGCTGGATACACGATGGATTCCTGGGGGCAGTGGAAGTTTTGGAACCTCAGGTGCTCATTTTCATTCTGTTGCTAAATGGCCTTAAACACTAAATCTGCCCCAAATTCTTAAAACACATCAAAGATAAATGCTATAATACTTTTCAAAAAGTAAAAGGTAGAATGGTGATAATACACTTACTTTTTGTTAAAATCCTCGTTTGAAAGACAGAAGCAATACTCTTCTATTACCTCATAATCGAGCAGGGTCTTCGCAAGAAGTTCCTGTTTGACAGATTGGAAACATCAATGGTCAAGATAATAAGTTATTCCTAAATGGCTAATTTTAAATATATTTTTTTCAATCAGCACCTTGTAACTTTTTAGCTGTTCTGGAATTTGTTCCATCCATTTCCTTTTTCCAGTGAGTTCTTCAATGCTATTGGGTTTCTCAGATAGCTTTCTGCTTAAGACGCTAAACTTTTCACATGCCTAAAACATAAAATGAAATCAACTTCTATGTGTAAACACTGTAAACTGATACAACACTTACATTATATTGACATGTATAAAGTAACATCTTTTCAGCCTTGTAACAGCTGACTTACAGTTTCGATCTGGTTGCGCAGCCTTAGTGCAAGGTGTTCTAGCAATGCATCAATTAAAGCTTTTCTTTTCTTGGTGAGAGACTGGCGTAGAGACTCCACACAAATAAAGAATGGTCCAATCACAATAAAAGATGGTAAGGAGAATTCAAGCTTTTCCTTTTCTTTAAGATGTTGCTTCACCTCTTCTTTCACTTCTTGGGGTGTTAGCTCTGCACTATGAGACCTGAGGAATCATTCAGTACCTCGATTATTCTCAAAATATAACCTTCATTTAACAGGTAAATCCGTTGAAAATGTTGGTTACGTACTGTAACCCCAGATTCTATGAGTATAGGCATAGCCCTTTAAGGCTGTCGCTGATGGGTTTTATCCTGATATGCGAAGCATTGCACTGAAAAATTTAGTCCATGCCCACCTGGTGTGTGGGCCCCACCCGGTCCGTATAAATTACGTTAAGAGCGGGTAAACGGCTCCCAAATAGCTTTTTCTTCAGCCATTTAGGAGCCAGTGAGGTCCGACGCTTAAAGGGATACGCCTATACTCATAGAATCTGGGGTTGCAGTACGTAACCAATGTTCTATTTCGTATAGGCTTCACCCTTTAAGGCTGTCGTTGATGGGTTAAGGGCGAAGCAGATGTGGTCCTCGCCTCACTGGGTCCATTCGAACACCGTATGAAGCAGAAGCTTGCCCAAAAAACGTCTTGTCACTCAGCTCCCCATGTACGTAATTACGCATTGCGTAATTATGTGTGCCATGCACAGACGCATGTTGTGTAACTATGCATTCTGAATGCATGAACGCCCTGGAAAAGTTTCAACGGGGAGGGAAAATTGCTGAAAAGTGCCATGAACCAACCGGTTTACGGCTGAACAGTATGAACAGATTAATAATAACAGGAGAGCTGATTATTAATCAAATGAACTGATTGGTAACAATAGTCATGAACTGATTAGTGACAATAGAACCAAAATAACAATCACAACTTGTGACTGATAACAACATCTCACACTGTAATGCATGCAGACAGATGTGAGTTAAACAACGTTCCATGAACAACAATATTCATTCTGTAAAACACTAAGGACATGTGTCATGGAGCGGGCCGTCACATCACAAAGATAAAAGTGAATAAATGAGCAGGGTGTTGACCACGCGGTCGCAGTGTAAATATCCTGCATTGTCATACCATTATGCAAAGCAGTCGAAGATGCAACAACCCTGATCGAGTGTGCCCTGAGGTAGACAGGAGGCTCTAAATCTGATGCTCTGTAGGATTCAGAAATGGCCTCACACAGCCAGTGTGACAAGCGCTGGGTGGTTAACGGGCGACCTGCAGATGCATCTCTATAAAGCACAAACAAATGTTGAATTTGACGCATTGCAGCTGTGCGTGCTATGTAATACGTTAATGCCCGCACCGGACAGAGAAGATGGAAAAACGCTTTTTCGTCTGATTTGTGGGGGGAAGGGAAAACCCCATACAACAATATCACTCTTGATTTAAAAGAGCTCATGATGTTTTAGGCATAAAAGCTGGATTCGGTCTTAAATCAGCTGAGCTACCGTCAGCCTGAATTCTGAGACATGACGGACAGACAAAGAAGGCAGATAATCACTCACCCTCTTAGCGGATGTTAAAGCCAGCAGCAGGGCTGTTTTAAGAGACAAGATTTTCATTGGGACCTAATCCAGAGGCTCAAATGGAGCTTTGATCAGGGCTCGCAGGACCAGTGTTAAATCTCATTGTGGAGCAAGTGGGTGTGAAAACAGGCCTGCGTCTTTGTACACCTTTTAGAAAACGCTTCATCAGCGGATGATTAAAAGCTGTTCTGTCTCCGAATCCTTCGTGGCAGGCAGAGATGACTGCAGCGTACATTAATCGTGCTGGATGACACATTTCTGTCCATCAGCTGTTACAGAAAGGACAGCACGTCGCCTAGTGGACATGAGGTGGCCTCTACACCTTTCTCTGTACACCAACGCTGAAAAACTGTCCACTTTAATGTGTACAGCGCTGTGGTAGATGCAGCACGTAAATCCTGAATTGTGCGCACTACATCCTGTGGGAGACCCATCCCTTCTAAGCGGGTCCGCTCAGCGGCCAGACCCACAGGTGCTGGCCTATTTCTGGGTAACTCCTGATCGCTCCTCCCGCCTGGAGGAGAGCATCCTCCCTCCACGGCAGTTTCCACGGGTGCCCCGATAGCAGGCGTCGCAGGACTGGGAACCACGGTGCATTCACGCACTCGGGGGCCACCAGGAGAGCTGTCAATCCCTCCTCTTGAACTCGGTTCAAGAACCGTAAAATCAAAGGAGGTGGAGGAAACGCGTAAAGAAGCATTTTGGGCCATGTGCTGTGGGCAACGCGTCCACCCCCAGCGGTGGTTTGTCTCACGGGCTCAGAGAAAACCATAGTTGACAATGAGCATTTTCTCGTGTCACAAATAGGTCCACGGCTGCTTGCCAAATTTCTGCCACATCTGGGCCATCAGGTCTGGATGGAGAGTCCAGTCCGTGTGACGTGGGCCGCCCCTGGACATCACATCTGCCCTTTTGTTCAGAACACCGGGACTGTACACTGCTCTGATGGAGAGCAGATTTTGGTGTGCCCAACACAGTAGTTTTGCGCAATGTGTAACATCTGGGCTGAGCGCACATCCCCTGCAGGTTTATGTACGCAGCAGTAACCTTGTTGTCTGTGTGAATCAAAACGTGTTGATTCTGCAGCACAGGAGCAAAGTGTTGAATCACGTTCAGCACCGTGTGACACTCCAAAACATTTATGTGGGCTGATGTGTGAAGGGGCAACAGCGCCCCTACAGCTTGAGATAGGCATGTCTCCTCCCAACCTGACAGCGACGCGTCTGTGAAGACTGACATGTATGATGTGGGTCTGCTGACGGGGACTCCCTCCGACAGAACCAGGGGGTTCTATTTCGCATAGGCTTCGCCCTTTAAGGCTGTCGTTTAGTGGGTTTCATCCCGTCATGCGAAGCATCACACTGAAAAATTTAGTCCACGCCCACCTGCTGTGTGGGCCCCACCCGGTCCGTATAAATTACGTTAAGAGTGAGTAATCGGCTCCCATTTTTTCTTCAGCGAGCTAATAGCACTGTCAGAAGAACGAAGAAGGAAAGTTGTGTAGATGACCAACCTTGTTAAGAATGCTTGGCCCGTCACGTCGACTTCCGGTCATCCCAGTGAGCTCTCCTCCCCGGAGGAGAAGCTGACGAGCAGTCTTGTTTCAAGGTAAATGCCGAGGAGTATTTCTCAGTGACAGGTCGCTACACGCTGGACAACGCCATCTTGTAATTTTCCTCTTATCGCGACCCTCGGAGCGAATCAGATGGTTCCTCCGGGACAAGCCATGTCAGCTGCAGCCCCCCGCTGCTCATTCCCTCCTGGAGAGCGTAGTGTCGGTGGAGGGGGGCTGAGCAAATGCTCATCTCATCCCACCTCGTTTCGCTTCGGTGATCACACTGCTCCTGGATGACAGCTCACTCTGAGGTTGCCCGGCGTAACTCAGGAGCAGCTGACATTAAGGGACCCTTTTTTACGTCCCGCGCCTTTCCTGCCAGTTCGGATGATCTGGCGGGAAGGTTTTTTCTAGGCTCCATTCCAGCTCACAGTCCTGATCCATCTGGCCTCGGTTTCCCAACAGGACGTCCTACGGGATGAGGCCACAGCCGGCTTTTCCTGGTAGATTGGGGGGTCGGTCTCCACAGTCCGCACCCATCTCCAGAGCAGAGGGGTTTGTACCGAGCGGAAATTCCCTCAGTGCCCTCTGGAGCCGAGCCTGACGGAGGCTTTTTTCTCGGAGCAAGATGTCCAGGTGGACCAGCGTCCCCCGCCTCCGGTTAGCGTAACCCAGACGGTGACATCGATCTCTAACTGAGCTCACCAGCATGCATTCCAGACGGCCGCAGCAAACAACACGTTACGCTGTTGGCGTACACGTTCAGAGGCGTGAGGAGACATACGCTCCCTCTGCAGGGCAGCTGACATCATCCCCAACCGGTGCGCCTCTTTTGCTGTCTGCCGCCCCGCATCGCAGCCGAAGAACGAGGTCCCAGAGGTTCTCCTTGCTCGTCACTCCACCTTCCTCTCAGGGGAGCTGCAGAAGCTTTTTGTTGGAGGGCCTTCATCAACGAGAGATCATTTCAAGATGCTCCACGGCTGCACAACACCTCCCCAGCTCTGCTACGCCAGTCCCTCCCGTCAAACGTCCCCGGCATCCGGAAGTTCAACTTTTCCCGGACTCCGCCAACAGGGGGTCTTCTAGGACAACAAACCATGGAGCTCAGGGGAAGATAACCAGGTGTCGGTTTGCTGGATGTGTGTAGATGACACGATGTAGAATAAACATCATTTTATGATGAAGTGTCTTTTAGCCAGGCTGTCAGCTCAGATGATCTGTCAGCGGCCCCATTACACACATTCATCAGGAATGAGCCTTTTAAGGTTGTTTCATTCACTGCCGGCGGTGCAAACACGCGCTCCTGCAACACGAGCAGCCTTCACCTATAAGGCGCTGTGTTATGAAAGCGCGCACGCAGCTCTCAGCGCCCGCCGTTCACGTAAACGTGAGACCGCGGTACAAGCCCAGTAACGTATCTCGCTCTCGGCAGGAGCGACACGCGTTTTCACTGCAGTGGTGTCAAACGTGTGCTCCCACTGCGTCAACAGTTTCACAAGCCTCACAGCGGCTCGGCTCCTTCATCCTCGAAGAAGGTTTTCTGAATTAACGCTGCAGCTCGTGGAATCACTCAAAAGCTCACATGATTCGCAGCCAAGAATGAACATGTTCGGCAGAACGAGCCCAGTGGTAACCTCACCCCACCGATGCCGCGCACTGCTTCCTGACCACACCATCGTCAAACGCGCGCTTCCGCGACAATCCTCGTTTAAGACATCGCATGAATGAGTGCGCACACACACAACTCTTCAGGGCACGTCGACTCATATGTGCACCCGCTCCCCGAGCGTTTACACGGAGCAGCGGCACACAACGTGAGCACAGCACAGATGAGCCGCGTCCCACAGCATCAGCAAATGCACAACGATTTGCATGCTCGGGGGCGCGCATTTTTTCTTTCTCCTTCAGCGCGCACCAGCCCACATCAGCATGCATGTGAGTCCACAGCATAAACGCGTGCCCGCTTTATAACTTTATAAACGAGTGGCAATGAGCGCGTGCTCCAGACGGATAGGCGAACTGTTT